GGGCGAAGTGCTTGATGGCGGGTTCTCTGAGAGCGCACAGCGAAAGCTCCCGGGGCTGGCAGTGCCGTCGCCTGGGGCGCCCCGCCGTGAGCTGCTCGGTGACCTCGGCTTTCCGTTGCAGGCGGTGGATGACTTGCTGCGGTGCGGGATCTGCTTTGATTACTTCAGCACTGCGATGATCATTCCACAGTGTTCGCATAACTGTGAGTACGGCGGCAGCAGCGCGGTCGCTTCTCGTGCGGGATGTGGGACGCGTCCCCTCCTGCTGCCTCGCACCCTTCTGACTTCACGAGTGCGGAGTTCACGGAGGTCCACACGAAACTGTTGCTTCCTTTTTGTTGTACCCCTGTGCCTCCTGTACTGTGATTGACGTGTTCTATGGAGGGTCAATTAATACCTCACTCTTGACTTGGTTGTAGTTTAAATTTACTTGAGTTTTAATAAAAATTGCACAGGAACAGCAGTTTTAATACAGATTGCTCCAGTAGGAGCCAAGGTAAATGGGGCGTCTGTGGCAAGTCAATAAAGGGGCGGTGAGGTCGTTTTTCCCTCTGTCCTGTGACTTTGTGGAATTTAGAATTAACGTATGTCATGTAAATGCACCTTGCCACACGCTCCAAGGAGCACAGGGGTGGCTGTCATGGGAGTGTGACTTGGCCCTATGACTGCGTTTAAGCCTGACTTGTCATCAAGTTGGCGGATTAAGGCAGACAGGTAGGGCCGAAGGAGGGGTACTTGGAGAAATTTTCAGCGAAAGTTTCGGTCTTTAGACCTCTCTCCCAGGAAACATGAGACTGGAGAATGACCTGGTGGGCCCTATGGGCTGGCAAAATCCTCTTGCACCTCAGCCGAGTGACAGAAAGCTACTGAAAAGTGTTCTCAAAAAAAGAGTCTTCTCCTTTAGAGTTTCAGAGGCAAGTCATCGTTTGACCGCTTATTGTTCGCTGGCACGTAGAGCAGAGGTTACCAAGCCTTCAGCTCCTTTATAAACCACGTAGCTCTTCTGCTTGTGGCTGAGCCAGCAAGGGCATTTGCCTCTGAGGAGCTCCTCCGGGTGGAAGCTGTGAAGCAGCAAGCAGCCTTTCCCTGTGCGGTTACAGTTGTCGCCTTCTGACAGCACAAACACATGTTGTCTGGAACAATGCCCTTAAATGCCGCCTATTCCTACCATTCTTCATTTAAATATCTTCTGTAACACCCTGAGGGCAGAACAAAATGCAAAGCTGTGTGGCAGAGAGCATTAAGTGTTAGGAGCTAAAATTTTCCGTGCTGCTCTGTCTGCCTCAGGCTGATATCTGCTGGAACGTGGTAGCGAAGCACTTTACTGAAAGCCAGGTTAAGGGGAGGTACATTGCCTTTTCTCACCTTAAAATAAAGGCTTGTAATTGTTTTGTTCAGAAACTATAACACTTCCTTTGGCAGTGAAATTTAGTTTAGCTTGGCAAAACTATCACCATTGAAAACAGCATATTTATGGTGGGGAGCACTGGAAATTCTCCACAGTAGCTGGTGTTACAGCCTGCCTGTGAAACAGCTGGGTTCAGAGGTCCTTAACTTTGAAAAGAATCTGTCTGCCTTCTTTTTTTTTTTAACAGATTACACATGTAATTTCTCCCTGCATATTGTAGAAACCTAAGTTTTCTTGCAGATTCAAGATTTTTTTTAAAGTATTTTCTACTCTGTTGTCTTTGTGTAATCTCTCCAGTCTACTGAGATTGTACAATTGAGCAAAAAGCCTCCTGCCATTAATGAGTAATTACTTGTGAACAGATCAGAATGAAATACATTTGCTTGCAAAATTTTTTTTCTGTTCTTCTTAGTGGTCTATTGCATTAAGACAATAATGGGGTTTCTAGACACCTCTAACCTGTTAGCACCTATAGCCGCTTGACGTTCTTGGGTGATGGGTAGAATTCAGCAGCTCACTTGGCAGCAGTTGCGTAACTGCCGCAGAACAGACGTGCCGTTGGTATTTCTTTCGTGTAAGAGAAGCGGCTGGAGGTGAATGTCCTCTCTAACGTGGCCGTCTCACCAGGGGCAGGGAGAACTGGGGCCCCGAGATTTCTCATGCTCTCAGTCTGAGAGGACAAACTTGGTCCGTTCGTGCTGAGGTGGTGTTGGAGGTTATCGCTGCCGGGTCTGCTTCTTGCGGGGGTGCCCGCCGGCACGGGGGTGCTCAGACATGCTGCACTCCTGAGGAACCCGCCAGGGCTGGTTCTCCCCAGCACAGCTCTGGGGGAGTGTCCTGGTGTGGCTGGGACAGGACACTGGCCCGGCCGTGCCAGGCGGGCGGTAGCAGTCTGGAGCCAGCCAGGGCAGGTGCCCTGCGTGAGCTCCGGGGGTAGCCCATACCCGAATGTCACGGGCAGTATGAAGGGGGAAGGTTGGCTGGGGAGGGGGAAGGTCTGGCCTGGGTTCCTCCCGCTGCTCCTTCCCTTTCCTTCTCCTCCTGCTCCTGAGGACTGCGCGGACCAGACGTTCTGGGCTGAGTGTGTACTTTGTTTTCCTGTTTCATGACATCTGTCCTTGCTTCAGCCTTCAGGTCTGCTCCTCTTGTCCCAGTTCCCCTTCCCAGCTGGGGAGGGTTCACGGGGTGGTGGAACACCTGCTATAGTTTAGGCCCTGGTACGGGCTGAGCACAGGCAGCGAGTAGGGCTGTGCAGCCCTGGCCTGGGGGTGCTGTGAGGTGGAAGGTGGGCAGGGGAGCCTGGATCTGTTCGACTGATTCACGTGGAAGTGGCTAGTGCTGTTGGAGGGGAGCTCTTTGTTGTCACCCAGGATTTGACTTTCTTAAAATCTGTGTTGAAATTACTGCTGTGCTTCCAGCGAAGCAGGTTTCAGAACTGCTTGCTCGGTTAAAAAACACCTGTGGGCTTCGATGTGTGGTGTGTAAATTGTGGCATTACTGACTTTTCTCGTGCCAAACTTGTTTTGTTCCTCTTTCTTCTCACAACCTTGCTGCTTCCAGATTAAACTCAGAGATTATTTGCTGGCAGTGACTTGGGTACTTCTTTTCTGCTACTGTTGTTAAGCATCCTGTGAGGGCTGTCGGCTTGGATTCACCCTCTGGGAGGTGTCCTGAAGTACAGTGCTGCGGCCGAGTCTTGTGAAGCGGTTGGTGGGTGTGGTTTGACGGGTGGTTTGTCTGTCAAACTGCAGATGGAAGTGGACTTTATGGCACCATTTAGTTGCTGGGGTATGTGCTGGCTGCAGCAGATGTTCAGGCGAAGAGCTCACGTGATTTATTACCCTGGGACGTGCTTCAGGCTACCCCGGCTAGGAGCAGCCGTGGCTGCAAACAGGCCAGCCCTGCTCCTTGCTGCAGGGGCCTGGGTGTCGGGTGTTGGCAGGCTACATCTGTAAGTTCGTTCGTATTCATTCAGTTAATTATTTTTTTTTGGAAGACTCCTCCCCCCATATCACATCTCATTACATGATGTAATTTTTGAGTATTTAGATAGATTTGCAGTTCTAAGTGTTGAATTAGTGCATTAACGCTCCTGCTGCTTTTCAGGCTCCTTTGCAGAGAGTCTTTGAAATACAGCTGCTTAGGTAGCTCTTGCTGAATGGGTTAAGTGCTGGGACTGACCAGTAGTGATCTAGTAAGTGAATGTCTGTTTTGCTGGAGAGTGATGAAACCTTTTATGTCTTGAAGAGGTTGGGAAAGCTCATAGATAAGTAGAGAAAGTAGAATATTTTCAGGAATTTACTGTGGCAAAATTATGCTTGTGGCATATTTCACCAAAGAGTCTGTTGAAGCAGCCTGTGATGATGATACGACTTCCTTTTCCTGGGAAACATTTAAGCCATCTCTCAGTGTTCCAGTGCTGTTTCCCATCGCTTTTAGCATTTTCCATCAGCATCAGGTTGGTATTGTTTTGGGAAGGGGAAGAAACACCTGGGAAAAAGAGAGGATAGAGGGTTTGTCTGGGGCTATGCAGGAAGATGAAAGTGATCCAACGTTCATCATGGCGCAAAAAAAAGCGGTGTGGGGGAGTGTGCAGTGCAGATGCACTGCTTGTAGTGGTGGTGGCAGAGTGTGGCTTCCATGTCTTGTGTTAAAGAAATGAAAGTAAACATCTGCTTTTACAGAGGGACTGAGATTGAATGTTGAAAGATGGTTGCATAAAATACAGGGGGTTTTGCTACAATGGTAATCAATTCTGTGGAAGAATGGTGTGTTTTCAGTATTGGTGTATTGTGGAATAGTTTGCATGTATTGTACAAAAAGAAAATCTAGCAGTAAGGATGTTGAACTGCATTTGGAAGAATGTCTGTTTAAAAATGATGTATTTCCTTTTTCCAGATTGTTCCCTTTGTATACGCAAGTTTTTGTCCTACAAAACGCAGTGTCCAACGTGCTGTGTGGTAAGTGTTTCCCTCAGCTTGGCTTTTGGCGGGTCTCAGGACCTTTTCCCTTTGGACTATGCTAAATAATTAATTCTGGTCATATATTGCCACTTTTCCTTTTGCTGAGCTGCTCTTTGGGCAAAACGTGGTGCTCTTGCAACTGGAGTCCTCCTGTTGCAGAGCTGCTCTTCTGTCGGCACGGGCAGAAGCAGATGGAGCATCAAACTTGGGTCTTGGCTCCGAGCTGAGGTGTACACAGTCTGTCAGGAAACATTTAACATTCCTTCCTAATTTGTTAAAGCACACCATCAGTTAAAACACGAGTGCTGAAAGTTACACACTTAAATTTTCTGTGATTGGGTGGCCTCACTTCACCTCTCAGGGAGTCTTTAGAAGTGCCTCCAGACCACCCAGTCCTAACACTTGCTGGCTGCGCTGTGCAGCCTTTTTGGGGACGGGAGGACTGTGTCATGCCCCAGGGAGAGGAGGCCTTTGCCGTGAGAACTAGGTTAAACGTGAGAAGCGCTAGAGGAGGGTTCGGCCTGCGCTGCAGGTGGGCGGTGGTTATGATCTGGCTGGAAGGACTTTTTTGATTAAAGAACACTGAATGCAATTTATTCTGGGCTTTAATCTAACTGTTCATCTGAAGCCAGTTGGGTTTATTGAACTCCTAACAATGGCTGGCTGCCCAAAAACAATGAATGGCGCTGCAGGAATATTGGCAAAATAGAAGTAATTTTCTTCTGTGTTTCTAAATCATGAACCAGACTAGACTTTTTCAGGACTGGAAAACAGATCTATTTGTGGCTTTGCCAGTTTTTAAACATTCAAACAAGTGCAGACTACTTGATGGAGTACGCTTTACTACTGCCTTCTTAAAAATCACAGGTATCGATATGAGCAAGACTAATAAAAACTTTGTAAAAAAGAGCAGCGGAGAGAGACAGCCGGAGATAAAAGTCAGAAATTGTTTAAAAAGAATGAATTGAATGCACAAGGCCATCTCATAATTCATATTTTCATTCCATAATCAGAAGATTAACATTTCCCTTCACCAGTTTTCATGCCTCAGTGCTTAAGGTTGTTATCACATTCATAGGACCCTTGGTTTGGTTTTCAAAATTATTAGAACTGGGCTACAATAAAGCCTCGTTGGAGGCCGGGTACACTGGATTTTGGTGCTTTAGCTTTATGCTTCATTTTTAACTATTACCTCCCATTTCCCAGACTTACAGTTCTCAGGCAGTTATTGTAGTTTGAGATATTTTTCAGGAACAAAGGTTGACACTTTATGCATCTTCATCCCCATAGCAATTTAGTGGGGGGTAGTTGAGGCATTGATCCAAGAAACAAATTATTGATCACTTGAACATTTTCTGGTACTCGCTGTTTTCACTGCATTTGAATGTTTGTTTTGGTTTTTTTCCCCTTTTCTTTCTTTTTTTAATAGGCGGTCTCGGAATCTGACCTGAAAAATAACCGGACATTAGATGAACTAGTAAAGAGCTTTAATTCTGCAAGGTATACTGTGATTTTATGAATACTCCCTCTGTTTTGGCAGCTGGAAGGGCAGGTGTGACGTACTTTGTGTGGCCAGGCTAGGAGTCCTTGTAGAGGAGTGGTATGAGGACTGAGTGGAAAAAAGGGCGGTGTCACAGAAATGTCCAAGACTAATGTTTTTGCTTTTGGGAAATTCCTACCGTTCTCTGGCTGAAGGTGACTGTCTGCTCAGGTGATGTGTGGAGGTTGTGTAACCTTGTTTTGGTTCTGGTTAGCTGCCACGGAAGTTACAGTCTCTCCCAACAGGTAGGAGGTCAAACAGATGTGTCGGGATTCTACAGGGAAAGTGATGGTAATAAAGGTTTGTTTAAGATCCTTCCTGAGTGTGCTGGGGAGATTCCAAACAAAGATTTTGTCCAGTGGTAGTGGTCAACTTGCAAGAGAATTCTCTTGATGAGGTCATTGGGTGGGAAAAATGTAGGTATTGAGGGACCACAAATGTGAGTTTTCCTGGATAAGAGAAGTCATGGAGCAGCGTGCTTTCACTTGGATTTCTTACCTACTTTTCTGTTCATTTTTATTCATTTTTGATCTCGTCCATTTGAATGACAGGAATAACAGAATAAGCATGATTTGGTAAACGCCTACCACAGTGGATAGATGAGATTTCTTGTATTATCCCTCTGTTTTCTTTTGATTAGAAGCAGATCAGTGATTTGCTGGGTATTTTGTAGGTGCTCCTGTGTCTATGGGAGACAAATATGCTTTCATCTTTTCCTCTGAAATGAACTTGGAGCTTGAAGTCCATGATATTCTTGGCTTCGTAAGCGATAGGAAGCATAGTTCTGTTCATGGCTTTGTTTCTTGAGAGCATTTCTCTGTGATGAAGATCTCATCATCTGTATGACCACTATTCGATTGAGTTGATTTTATTTGAAGAATTGAAATTCTCTAGTTCCATTATTGTAGCTTGAACTCTGTCTTTGGTGTTTCCTAGTGATAAATGGATGATTATTTTTTTTGGTAACATCTAATTTTGTAGGGAACAAATAGTGCTGACTTGGATCCATTATGATATTGAATCTTAAACGTAATTTTTTTTTTTTGACTGCTTTAATGGATCAGTATAAATCTTACCGGTCAGAGTAGTTTAATTCCTTTTGTGGCTTGGAGTTCAATCAGTTTCTTCACGTACAGTTACATCAATAAGACAAAAACTACTGTGCCCTGTTCTGCACTGGGTGAGGTGGGAGAGAGCCAGTGCAGGGTTCTTTCTGGATCTCGGCAGGAAAGGCCTAACAACGACTGAGTTACTAAGAGAACTGCTGTAATAAGGCAGGGATACAGGTAGTGAGGAGATCTGGCGTCACTTCAGATGCTGGGCACACCGTGTTCATGCTTCTCTCAGCCTGGGATTGCGTTTGCTCTGCAGATGGCCCTGAGATCAAGGGGAACGCTGCTTGCCTGGAGAGCGTTAGGTGGTGTGACTGTCATTAAATCCTAACAGCGCTGCTGGTTGCTGCCCTGGCGATGCTGGTGCAGGACAAATCTGTCCCGTCCCTGCCCCCTTGCTTCCCCAGGTTTCTTTTTGGCCCTCCCTGAAACAAATCCGAAGTCCAGGGGCTGAATTTTGAAACGTGCTGAGCTCTTCAGGTCCCAGGTCCGTCCCGACTTGACTTGGAGCCTCAGGTAGTTTAGTGTTAATGAAAATTAGGCCTTAAATCTTTTCATTATTTCACAAAATGCAAACACATTTCTTAGGCCTGTAG